TTTTGGGTGCTGCAGCAGGTCCCTTTGACGGTGCAAAACATTTCATCGACATTGTTGTGTGTGTTGGGGAGAAAACTTACAAACATACAATACAGCACTTCAGAGTCACACTGCTAGCGATCGAAGATTTATGTAAATTTGACAAGCTGAACGCATTCTGTAGTGTACAGGAGACATGGCACGGAGGAGATTGATTGACAGTGGTCTAAAGCCGATCAGGACGTAGAACACAATGCGCTGTAACAAAAAAATTTATATGTTTTTAAAAATTCTCTCTGTAGCTGTAAGGTTAGGTCCAGATACCTAGAGCCACAAGTGTTCAGGATGTAACTCAGTGACAGAAAGCTGTGTATGCTTATCAATAAATCATAATTAACTTGGAGTAACTGATGTTCTCTATTTATTAGTACAGTGTAGTATCAGCTAAGAGCTGCGAAATGTCTTTGCAAGTCAAAAGACCTACACTCCAACAGTTTGGATCTTAATATTTAATGGGTTTGATTTTTTTAGTGTTTAGAATAGGGATGGGTATCGTTTAGGTTTTATCCAATACCGGTGCCAAACCGGTACTTTTGAAATGGTGCCGGTGCTTAAACGGTGCTTAAACGGTGCTCAAACCGGTGCGTAAAGAATGGAGAACACAAACTTTGCCCAAAAACCTCTCATGTTTAGCTGTTTTATTGTAAAAAGATAACAATGTTAGCCTTTTCTGCAGCTATAGGGAATATATGGTATCACTCTTGGCTGGAAGCAGCACTTAAACAATGGAAAAAACACAAACTTTGTCCAAAAACCTCTCCTGTTTAGCTGTTTTCTACTTTTTCTTTGGTCATTTTAGCCTTTTTGGCCAGGGTGAAGGGAGTATCTGCCATCCAACAAGAAGACAACTATGTAACTACGACGTTGTTTGCTAGTTCACCTTACATGCATTAATGTAATAACGTGGTTAGCCTACTCAACGTAAATTACACACGAACAACATTAAGCTACTCACGCAGAGAAGAACGGCTGCTGCTGCCGTCATCATGCGTCATCATTTCTGCTACACTGGCAGGGCTAGGGGCCAGGACTCTCCACTTCGGGTTCTTAGGGGATGTTGCTAACTCTGGGTCCGATAACAGACACCACACCCGCAGTAGATGTGCTCGGTGTGAGGTCTTGCAGCAAGCTATCAAATACGGTGCATTTTTTGGCTTTTAAAAAAATGCTATGCATCGCCAGGTGTTTCATCAGATTCGAGGTGTTACCTCCTTTGCACAGTATCACCTTAAAGCACTTGTTGCAGGCTGCTGAGTTTGCATATTTTGCTGAGAAGTACAGCCAGACTTTTGACCGCTTCACCTTGGGCCTTTTTAATCTGTAGTTCTGCTCTAAAAGAACGTGTGTACCTGGGCCCGCCTACTATCCTTGGAAAGGTAAAATGATTGGCTAGAATCCAAAGTGTATGACATCTCAGGGGGAAAAAAGCACCGAAATATGCGCTGCTTTTCGGTCTGGTTACTACCGTTTATGTCAGAACTGGTGCCATAATGGCACCGGATACCGGTACCCATCCCTATAGTTTAGAATGAGCTCATTTGACCTTTGCTAAATATTCTAGCTTTCAGACATGTGCTTATGAGACAAGTGTAGCTTTTGAGCAGGGTGACCATTTTCATTAGCTCTTTGACTATTGGACAAAATATTCTCTGTGGGAAGTAAATATTTTTGATACATGTATGTTTTATTCAGTGAGATAATATCGACACACTTTCATCCCTTTTATGATTTTTAAAGTGCAGTTGCAAACATTAAAACACTAAAACACGTCCTGAATTCCAGTCTCGTTTCACTCTGTGTTACCAATGTGTAAATTATTTTAGTACTTGAAACTGTATTTAATCTGTTTTTGGCAAATTAATTCAACTCAAAATGTAAGTGTATGGACAAGACAATAAAGTCTGTAACCACAACTCTACAACCATGCAAAAAGAAAAATTACACAGTGTTGCGGTCCTGGGTAGGTGACCCAGTGTTTTGTATTTTGAAATTATTGTATAGTCTTCGTCTTACACTCTTCTTTGACAGGATGAAACCACCAAACTATTCTCAGAGAGAAAGTATCTGACTCAAAAGTAGAAGAAAGAAAAGACAAGCAATAAGGAGGGTGGGGAAACAGAAACCTCTGAGTGTATTGAATGCAGATGGGCTGAAATGTTGTTATTATACACAAATAATAGATAAGAGGCTCATTTTAAATCAGTTTATAGTAAAAGGAAAGAAAATCACCTTGATAATATAATCTCAGTTCTTGTTGGGGTTTTTGTTTTGTTTTTTTGCTGTTCTTTTTTACAAATAACACAATCTGAAGGTGGATTGCTTGGCACTTGGAATGGTCTGTCTCTGCACAAAAAAGTATTAAACGGACTTTTTTCCCCCTTCATTGGAATCGACTGACGTACCACTTGTTTTAGTGATACAGGCTGTAATGAAAAACATTTATTTTCTAAATGGGACTCCACAGCCACAGGGCTGGCCCCTGGCTAAGTGGCTTTATTCTCCTGCTTTGTCAGAGTGATGAAATTGCAGTTGCTTTGCAGGTCTCCATTCAGAAGTCACTACGAGGCATTATGAGCAAAATGTTTTCCAGTCATAGAGGGGTCAAAAGCCATCCGTATTTATTCATGAGGCACTGGGGGAGTGCTCTGTCGCGAATGCTGGCCTGTTTTAAGGGCTGGATTAGACTGCACTTTCAGAGGCCCTTTTTTAACAATGCCTCTGCCTTCTGTATTGAACTGCTATTTCATAATGTAATTTACCTGCTCATGCTGTGCAAAGATTGCAGATGCACAAAAGGTTTAGACACTGAGAGCAAAACAGAAATGGCAGTGAGACCAGTGCTTCTGCACTCCACTGAAAGGATGGAGTGCCCTCTCTTGGCTCAATATGAGATTTATTTCCAATTTTGAAGGTAAACAGTACAATATGCATCACCATAATGTGACTAAGCTTTTTGGGGGATTTTTTTCTCAACTTTTCTTTGAATGTTTTTACGAATAGAGATATGAAGTTTAGTTTTAAAGTGAGGACAGACATTAAGGACACTTAGAAGCTAAGAAACATCATTTATTTATTGAGACAGTTGAAATAAAACAGTCACAGTTTCTTAATAAATTCATTATGTAACAGTCGGGATGCAATAATTAAACACTGTTGATTAACAATGGGTCAATTGACGACGTGATCGAAAAGCTGAGTTCAGTCATGTGAATTTGTCATTGTAACACATAGAAGGCTCTCCAAAGCTGCTTCTTGGCTTCACATCAAGCAAGAGAAAAACCTTAACAGCAGTGCAGTGTTGCTGAAAAGCTATTCAGACCTCAGGGTAACTGTAGGACTGGCAGTTATCTGCAGGTTATTCAACAAAAGGACCTCTTTCAGAATATTCACCGTCATGTGGTCGTTCTCAAGAAGTATCGATTCATTCTTGTGCATACAGAATTGTTCATTTGGAATGCTGAAGCCAATTTTTTAAAACCGTAGCAGTAACTGATCTTTCTCAGCATGCCAGTGTATTCCATTAAATCAGATTCTCAGCTTTTCTGAAATAAATAAATAAATAAATGTAACAAAGTGGTGGTTGGGTAAGCGTTTCCTTTAATGGCAATGCAGCACTTTTCAGCCTTATGTGAGCGCGGCTTAATCACTTGTAAGACTTGAGTGAGTGTGTGTTAATAAACATTAGGCTGTCTCTCTTCCCTCGGTGATTAGTGGTTTATGTGCTTGGCTCTCTGCAGGCTGAAGTCACAGTCCTGAAGATTGATGGAGGGCCATGCTATTCAAACAGCAGGCATTGCTGAGACAGAAGCTCTTCGTTTTGGGCAGCCTTGCTATCGGAAGTGTCCTCTATCTCGTGGCGAGGGTTGGGACTTTGGATAGGTAAGTCATGGCGGGTATATTTTAAAACATACATTGCCTTAATTTAAAGCAACTTGCATTACAAACTTTAGTGTCCTATACTTTTTAAACCAATCACAGTGTATTCCAGAAACATTTCTGTACTTTATAAACTCTTGAAGTATTTATGCATTCATAGACATGCAACTTGGCAATGTGTAGCTTTGACAGGTACACATTTAAATCATTTTTTATCCTAAAATGGAGGTTGTGAAATTCTCCTGACTGAGGCAGATTTTCTGCTTTAGATTAAATGAGAGAAATTCTTCAGTATTTTCATTTCTTGAGGTGAAATTTTTACAGTACTTAGTTCCATCAGTTATTCTAAAAACAAACAAGTCATTTAACTGCTGTAGTCATCTTTATTGACAAAGATGTGGTGCTCGCAATTTTGCATGTTGAAAAGGTGGTGTGGTGTGAGGACTTGGGTATGCATAAGAGAAATGGCATTCCAAAGAAATGAATACCATAGTTGATGAGGAACTAACCATGAACCAGTTGAGGGATCTGTTAGACACAGACTGTATGTAAAATATGAATGCAGCGTTCAAGTCTAAAAAGTGGAGACAGTTCCTTAAACCTGCATAATGGCCAGCAGGGGGCAGCAGCTTTGGCAGTTTATGGCTGTTTGTGGTTACTACTCAGTGACTCACTATACTTCCTTGTTTTAAAAAAAGGGTTTTGGTGACAGTGAGAATATTCAGTTCAATACCCCAGAAACAGGACAAACCAGTGGGTGACTTTATGCTTGCTGTGTCCTTGGTGCTAGGACGAGTCTGCTGTGGTGGCACTAACTTGCAACTCACAGTACTTTAAACATCTGCTGCAAAAGCCTTAGTCTTAACATACCGCAGGCTTTTCAGAGGTCTCAGAAGATCATAGATGTTTCAGGATGTTTCTTTGCATTAGCTTCAGAGAATTGTTCCATTAATAATAAGTTTTACATTCAAGTAGATTATTTAGTTAAGATTGAAGTGATAAATGTATTCTATGAGCGATAAAATTCCTTATAGAATGAGATACAAAATAAGATAGATGCGTTCTTTTCCTGTGTTTCAGGCTACAGCCCATTTGCCCAGTTGACAGCAGACTGTCCGCCCCTGAACCAGAGCAAATTCCTCTCCGCACTCTGCAGTTTAAGCGTGGCCTCCTACATGAAATCCGTAAGGGCAATGCCACCAAAGAGCAAATTCGCCTGCACAACCTGGTCCAACAACTGCCTCAGGCCATTATCATCGGGGTGCGTAAAGGTGGCACCCGTGCCCTGCTGGAAATGCTCAACCTGCATCCAGCAGTTGTCAAGGCTTCACAAGAGATCCACTTCTTTGACAATGACCAAAATTACGCTCGTGGCATCGACTGGTACAGGGGGAAAATGCCCTTCTCCTTCCCTCATCAGATCACCATTGAAAAGAGCCCCGCTTACTTCATCACAGAGGAAGTCCCTGAACGGATATTCAAGATGAACTCTTCCATCAAGCTGCTGATCATCGTGCGCGAGCCTACCACCAGAGCTGTGTCGGACTATACCCAAGTGCTGGAGGGCAAGGAGCGCAAAAACAAGACCTACCACAAGTTTGAGAAGCTGGTCATTGACACCAACACCTGCGAGGTGAACACGAAATACAAAGCAGTCCGGACCAGCATCTACACCAAACATTTGGAGCGTTGGTTGAAGTACTTTCCCGTGGAGCAGTTTCACATTGTGGATGGGGATCGCCTTATTACAGACCCGCTGCCAGAGCTGCAGCTTGTTGAGCGCTTCCTTAACCTCCCCTCCAGGATCAGCCAGTATAACCTGTACTTCAATGCCACCAGGGGATTTTATTGTCTGCGATTTAACATTGTCTTTAACAAGTGCCTGGCAGGCAGCAAGGGCCGCACCCATCCAGAGGTGGACCCATCAGTAGTGACTAAACTGCAAAAATTCTTTCATCCCTTCAATCAGAAGTTTTACCAGATCACTGGTAGGACATTCAACTGGCCATGATGAGCTCAAACTCCTCTGATGAGATTCTTTGAATTGGGGTTTATTTAAAAATGCCAAATTCTGAGACCTCGAAAGACATTAATAGCACTTTGATGGCATTTAATACCAGGATGACAGTGTGACCAAATATAAAAGGAACTTGATGTAAATTTCTTTTCAAATGTGTGAAAGAAAAAAAGAACAAAATAGTTTCATGGTTTGACTAAAAGCTGCAGTTCAAAGCACTTGATCTTGCAAATGAACTCACTTGTCTGTCAATGTTTTCCCCATGTAGAGAAAAAAACAGTGCTGAGCTGTGTGATTAACTAAAGAGATTATTTTTAAGAGATTATCAAACACTGACATTCGTGCTGTTAAGATAAGCTATAAGTGTGATGCTTTTTTTCATGAAAAAACACCTTCAAAACCGAACAGAAAAAGTTCATCATTCCTTATCGTGGTGTTTACCTGGCCAAAACTGCATGTAAAATCCAGTTGCCAGTATAACACAGTAGACTTTTGTGTTTGCTCATTGTGTTTTTTTTAACGCCTGCTGTGATCAGTCCTTTAGAACAGCGGTCTCCAACCTTTTTTGCGCCACGGACCGGTTTATGCCCGACAATATTTTCACGGACCGGCCTTTAGGGTGTCGCAGATAAATACAACAAAATAAAACTAGTACCGGTACCGAAAAAAAGAAGATTTATTCATAACACACGTGAAAAGACCCAGGAAAACCGAGTTAATGATAAAAAAGATAACAAAATAATGCTGAAAACCGATAGAAACCCTGAAAACCATACATTTCACACCTGAGCCTCAACACTCGCGGTCCAGTACCAAACGACTCACGGACCGGTACCGGTCTGGGGCCCGGGGGTTGGGGACCGCTGCTTTAGAAGGTGGCCTCCTTTAGTTTTTAACATAATACCTAGTCTGTAGAACAGATTGGCTTATCAGAATAGTTATAAGTGTTGCAAGCTTGGCTGTCACCTTGTCCAAAACCTTTAAAGCATTTAAGACTTGAGCTTGTGTTTATAAATGTAAGTATACTGTTCTTTTCCCCTACTGCTTTCTCATTGGGTTACCAACACTTAGTGAAGAAAAGAAGGTGTCCTCTGATGACTCATGTCAAACCAGCTGTTTGTTCTATGCTGATTTTTTTTAAAAAATGAAATCTGTTCTGTGCAAATATTCATTCTGTATCATAAGTGTGTTGTTAAATTAATAGAATGTGTAAACATTTGTGAGAGGATTTCATGTGTATTGGTGTATTTTAATATTCTTTTTGAGGGTAGTAGATCAGAAATAACTGACTTGCAGACTTACACCGTGGTTGTAATTCTGAGTGGTGGAAAGAAAGAAACTTAGTGGGGTACAAACCAAAACCACCATCGGTGTCTCCCTGAAGAAATGTTGATGAGATGAGATGAGATGAGATAGCCTTTATTTGTCAGTTGCAGGTCTTTTGCCCACAACCGAGATGACAGACCTTGCCGACCGTATACAATACAAACATCACATTGGGGAGACAGGTCAGGCCAGGTAGCAAGCAAAAAAATCATCGAAATGTGCAACACAAAAGGATAATGCAGGAATGCACAGGTATCAACACACCATAACACAATAAACACAAACAAGCAACATGGGAAATGTTCTATTGATTCATGTTTCTGGACACAAACGTCCCTACATTATTTTCATATCCCTGAATGTAATGTTTAATCTTGCTTTCATCAATATTTTTTAAAGCAAATAAGTCTGCATTTGGAAAATGGAAGGGCAGTGGAGCAACGAATTTACACACTACACACCCAAGTTTAAGTCATATATATCAGAGATTTCTACATTAGCATCAATTCTTCAAAAATTCATTCGGTTACGTTAAGGCACTAAAAACGACAAAGACTAGGTCTAGACACTACAGTTGCTACAGTACAGACTTTGAGTTTCATTAACGTCTGATTTGGTTCCAAAACAAAATAACCCTGTCTTTAGAATAACTTAGCATGAAAACAGGATTCAGAAACAGCTAACCCAGTTCTGTCCAAAGTTCACAATATGGCTATAATACATTAAGGGGCATGAATAGAATAAGAGACTACCAAAATAGTTTTTGGTAAAAAATGTTTCATCATCATTTACAGTTTGCCTTGTACCTGAGCAATACTGTACAGGATTACTGCCGCACAAAGAATCTGGAACCACTCTCAAGCTAAGAGAGGATTCTGTCTGCCATGATTTTCTTTAAGTGGACATTTCCCCAACTTTCACTATATACATATATAATGTTCAGACATCAGATTTGTTAAAATGTGGTCTGGTTCTCAAAAGTCTTCCACTCAGATATAGCTCCATAACAACATTATAACTGTGGAAAAACCGAAGAACTGATTAGTACTCATGTACAACCTGATAAGTTAACAGCTCCAGCTCTGTCCATGTGCAAATCTGTACTGGCTTTTTTTGGTATTACCCTCTTAAAATTCCTTTAAAGCTCAGAATAAAATCAGGGCATTGCCCAAAAATGACTCTCAGGGGTAAATATATTCTTTTGCAAGATTTCAACCTGCAAATCAAACATAAGAAAGGGACGGAAAATGTCATCGCTGACGCCCTGTCGAGAGCAATTTCATAGTTTGGGAATTTAACAATAGGAGGGTTGTTTAATTGTTTTTGTTTTTCGTCAGTTTTCACCTGGTTTGATATTTACCCAGATAGCAAGGAGACGTTGGTCTCTGATTTGAGTTTTGCATCTGGGAGAGAAACACCAATGGATTGTGGTCAGTGAACACTTGAACAGGGATAGAGCTGGATCCGATATACACCTCGAAATGCTGCAGGGCTAACAACAAGGCAAGGGCTTCCTTTTCAATAGTGCTGTAGTTAATCTGATGTTTGTTGAATTTTTTGGAAAAATAACAAATTGGGCGATCCACGCCGCGATGGTCTTCTTGCATAAGGACAGCTCCTGCACCAGCCGCACTAGCGTCAACCTCGAGCTTGAAAGGGGACATGAAATTTGGTGCCGTAAGAACAGGGGAACTGCACAGTAATGCTTTCGCAGACTCGAAAGCAGTCTGACAAACAGGCGTCCACACAAAAGGCTTCACCGGACTGATCAAATCGGTGAGAGGAACGACAACAGTGGCAAAGTTCTTACAAAAACCTCTGTAATAACCACACATTCCTAGAAATCGGCGCAGCGCCCTTCTCGTTTGTGGGACTGGAAACTCAACGATCGCCTGTATTTTCGCAGTCACCGCCAGTACCTGTCCCTGACAGGTGGGTCAGGGACAGGTTTGTTGGGCAATACTTCAGGTAATGGAGTTAACAAATCCATATTTGTTACAGCCATAAATGTATCTAATTCTATTGCATGGTAGTAAGAAATGAAAGAATGTAACGGATAAAGCAGTGGAACTGAATTTTATGAAGCGCGTTTTTACCATGTTTCACACATCCTTATGAGTCCACTTGTCCCATCCTCTGGGTTGAATGGGACTCCTCGCGGTGGGGTAAGTGGCCTACCGAAGTTGTCTAACCCGCCCCTCCCCGCCGAAGTTGCGCCTCCCATTCAGCGACTTTCCGCCGTGTGTAATTATGTGTTGATGCCGTCCATCCCATCTTCTGTCTGCTGAAGCAAATTCAAACCAACTTTTTATTTCTAGAGGTACTTTTAAAATGGCTTACACGACCGCAGGCGGGACCAAGAAGAAGGTCTGCTACTACTACGACGGTATGGGACATCCTGAGCGTGTGAATGGGCAGCCCAAACTGAGCCATCTGGCAGGCTAACGCTAGCCAGCTAGTCAGTGTAGCTGCTGGTGAATGTATACTGTTTAACACTAGCAAGCTAACGAGTAGGCGCTAATGACCATCGTTTGAAAGGTCTCCGCGGTGCAAAGAGAGTATTCGTGTGTTTACTATTATGAGTAAAAGTTTTTAAAAAAATCACCTTACTTCAACCGAGTCAGAGAAAAGAGGAGGGCTTCGGTTAAAATTAATGTTGAGAATTTGCGACACAAGCACTCATTGTCACGATTGTATAACTTATAGTTGCAGATCGGGCTTTGTGCACCGCGTTACCTCTGTTAAATCAAAAATGATTAGGAACTGATGAGTCGTCGTCAGAGTTACATTCGTAAAAATAATGAAGCAAAATGTGCCACTGTTACACAATTAAGTGCTCAGGCCTTATTGGAGCGTATCACCGTGTTGTCTAACATCACTCTCTCTCATAAGAGAAACCGCTTATTTGTATTCCTCATGTACAAGGAACATAGTTACAGTATCTTGTCAGAATTTTGAAGAGACTTGCAGTAAAAACTAACTTTGTTCACATATAGCCCTGCATTCAGTTTACATGTACTAGAACTAGAACCGTGCATTCAGTTTTCATCTGAATATTTAACAGTCAAATGCTGTGTTATTGTTGTTTTTACGTTGCTTTTTATTTCTCACTAAACACAACAACCCAGTATTTTTTTCTCTTTTCTACTTTGCGTGCTATTTCTCTGTTCAACCTGAAGTTGCATTTGTTCTTGCGCCCATGTCCTGGGAAAGTGGCTACAGCCCCATGAACTTTATACCTTTTAATAATATTGGCAACTGAGATCAGCAGTACATTCATAGTCTGAAGGAGATGTAGTGAGCTATTGTAGGATAACTGCATGTGCAGGTAAAATTGAAGTAAACATCACTGTTTGACCTGCACAATCGTGTGATCTACTTCTTGGTGGTAAGCATCCATAGTTTTTCAGTTACATTAAAAATGCTTGAATTATACTTATGGTATTACACCGTGAATGATGTTGCTGTTGTTCCCCGCTGTTGTTGTGTTAAGAAAAACTCGGTTTTCCCTTTGCTTTTCTGTTATTTACTGTTCTAGCATTATGTTTGTGTCATGCTAGTTGCTAACTTAGCAGCCACAGAATACCTCAAAGATGTAAAACAGTTAATACCTTAACATATGGGGGTTTCATTTGGTCTTTTTGTTTGTGGTCAGGATTAGAGCAGGAACAGCCAAGAATTAAGAAGGGGGGGGGAGAAACACAGTACACAATTGGCAGGTTGTCAATTTTGATGAAAAGTACAAAATGTGCTGTTTTTATAGAATGTGTAAATAAGTGTAAAATCTCTTTTGTTGCTCAGACAGAACCTGAAAAGCATCCATTTTTATTTTCATTCACAGCTTAAATTAATAATTATTATCGGATGGAAATGTGTTTCTTATCTTGTTCCTTTTGTCTTTGCAGGTGACATAGGAAATTATTACTATGGACAGGGGCACCCCATGAAACCACATCGTATCCGGATGACCCACAACTTACTTCTGAACTATGGACTGTACAGGAAGATGGAGGTCTATGTATGTTTTCCAAGCATGTGACACTAAGCATACCATAGGTTCTGGCCTTCCTTGTTGTAGTTTCCAACCAGCTTGTAATGTCTTGTGTTTCAGAGGCCACACAAAGCCACTGCAGACGAGATGACAAAATATCACAGTGATGACTACATCAAGTTCCTCCGATCCATACGACCAGACAACATGTCAGAGTTCAGCAAACAGATGCAGAGGTGTAAGTCATTGTGTCCTCTTTGGGACATTACAGAATTTTGTGTACTATTCCAAGTACGAAATACAAGGAGCTCCTCTGCCCTTCTGTTTCCATTCATACTGCTCAAACAAAATTTTGAACACCTTCCTATTTTTTGGTTTCCTATTTATTTATGTATTTATTTATGTACTCTGCAGTCAATGTTGGGGAGGACTGTCCAGTATTCGATGGCTTGTTTGAGTTCTGCCAACTGTCTGCTGGTGGTTCGGCTGGTAAGTCGTGCTAATGATGAATCAGATGTTGCTAAGCGGTCATATAAAAGGTCTTGATAAGTCAGTTGAGTCAAGCAATCTGAATATTTATGTTAAAGATATACTGTGACACAGTTTTATTCATTCTGTTACAACTCTGGAGGTGTTAAATAGTCTGTAGTAGGGTTGTCAAAAAATAGATACTCAGATCCTAACTGACACTAAAACTGACGATTGGATTAGTTACTCATTTATAGCAGTATCAGTACCCACAGTACTGTCTTTGCCTCTTCTAGTTGACACACTACTTCCCATAGAACCACAGCAGACAAGCAGGAACATGCACCACGCGATGACATTCACAACACTCATAATATTTTGTGTGGAACATCAGGAAGTCATTGAGCTCCTGTTTCAGCAACATTAGACCTATCTGTAACATTAATAGACACTGCCAATTTAACAGAATAACACAATTATTTGTATCTAAAAAGTCTTGTGGTTCTCAGTCATTTCTACATTGTCTTTGGAAGGATAATATTCCTAAAGACATGACTGTCTGTGGAATAAGAGGTCAGGATTGAATTCCCTACAAAAATGAATCCTAATCTTGTCTTGTGTACCTTTGTGAACCACCTTTGTAATCCTGAGGATTTGGTGGGACTCCTGAAGTTCTCTCACTAAACCCCAAATCCTGCTTTGTGGTACAAGTTACAAGCACTGTGTTTGTTGACAAGTCATCAACCAGAGTAGAATGAAACATGATCTGTATAGTTAGCACCAACCATCTTTATAAATAGTCCTCTATAAAAGAACAGACAGAAAGCTGTAATTGCTCATGTAGGACCTCATTACTGTCAGTCAAATCCTTGAGAAACAAAGTCAGTGCAGTGGTCATTAGACTGAGGCAGCAAATTCTTTTTATTGTCACCTGTTACAGTTACAGTTACAGGAACAAGTTTTTGGCTTTCAGTTGTCCAGCTGTTTCAGTGCCAGCCTTGATTAAACATTTTTCCGGTTATGACAACAAAGTTAGACTAAGTGACTTATTGATTAACTCATCAGATATATATCAGTTTCTTTACAAACTGCATAATCAAACATGTTTCCTGTTGTGTACAGCTGGCTCAGTGAAGCTGAACCGACAGCAGACAGACATTGCAGTGAATTGGGCAGGAGGACTCCACCATGCAAAGAAATCGGAGGCCTCAGGGTTCTGTTACGTCAATGACATTGTGCTGGCCATCCTGGAGCTGCTCAAGTGAGAATATTTCCCGCTTTGTTTCCCATCTACATATAAAAATTCATTAAATGAAAGCAGGTGAAAGACCCATTTCTCACAGCATTGTTTCTATGCAGTGTTTGTACTCATCCGAGCTCTGTCTGTGGCCCTTTTTACCAGGTACCACCAGAGGGTGCTGTACATCGACATAGACATCCACCATGGAGATGGAGTGGAGGAGGCCTTCTACACAACAGACAGAGTTATGACTGTGTCCTTCCATAAATATGGGGAGTACTTCCCTGGAACTGGTGACCTTCGGGTGAGCCTTACACTCTTCCTTCAGCTGGTTACTAAGAAGTCATAATTTCTTAATTGAAAACAGCAAAATCTGTATGATGATATCATAGGATAGTTTTGCATTTGTGTGAGTATTTATTTTTTGTTTTTGATCATGGAAAGATATAAGGGCTTTGTTAATTTGGTGCAGCTAACACATGCATTTGCACACTGCTGAGGAGTCTATACTTGGAGATTATTCAGTATGCACTTTTTTGTCTTTTTTACCTTTAGGATATTGGAGCTGGAAAAGGCAAATATTACGCTGTCAACTTCCCACTGCGGGATGGCATAGATGACGAGTCATATGAGCAAATCTTCAAGCCTGTGAGTTCCACAAATGCTTGTTTTGCACTGCAAATATAACTGACCCTTTAAAAGTCACAGCACTTCGTTTTTTCGCTCTTCCCAAATGAACTGATCCAGAAGGAAATGATTAAATAGTAATATATATATATATAATTTAGGGATGTCCACAACTAGTTGCCCAGCTGACTACTCGTTGCTGTCGTCACTAGTCAGTACCAGACTTGCTAGTCTAATTGTTATACTTGTTAAAATTTTAATTGATGCCCAATGCTGCCATCTGCCACCAGATGGCAGCATTGGGCAATCTGCTGTTGCATTTCCCAACAGCAGATTGTTGTTGGGAAACGCCATGAATCTATCAATCTAGGCCAGTGTTAGGCAAGGTCCAGGCCTCAAGTGCCGGTGTCCAACAGGTTTTAGATATCACCCTGGATCACACCTGAATCACACTACCAGGCCTCTAGAGAACTTCAAGACATTTTGAGGAGGTATTTTAGCCATTTAAATCAGCTGTGTTGGATCAAGGACACATCCAAAACCTGCAGTACACCGGCCTTTGAGGCCTGGAGTTGCCTACCCCTGATCTAGGCTAACATTATTAGAATGAGATCGCGGATACAACTGGAGGAAATTAGCTTTCTCTGACAGGATGCAATAGGGTGATGAGTTAGATCATTTGGGACAACTTCAGAGTAGAGTCAACGCTCCTCCATATTGAAAGGAGATGGCTAAGGCTGTCGCCTCCAGGGTAAGGTGTTCCAACTGGGCGTTTATCTGGAACATGCTTGAGAGATTACGTCTGGGAATGGCTAAACGTTTCCTGGATACGCTGGTGGAGGTGGTGAGAGGGAGGTCTGGGCTTCCCTGCTGCTTCCCCCAGGACCCAACTTTAGATTGTCTTAGTTTTGTTTCCTAGTTTTAGACTAGTCGGGCAGTCTTAAGTTTTTTATCCCACGACTAGTCGACTAGGAAATTGATCACCAGGAACATCTCTAATATAATTAATAAATAAATATATTGCTGGGGGGGAAAAAACAACAGATAAAATATTGTATTTTCAAAGGCAAACCAATAGAGAATTACCATGTTGTCTTTTAGCTCACTGTTCTGATTTTAATTGTACCTACAGCAGGCAATTCAAATCTAAAGTACTGTAGTCACATAGGAGACAGACAGCTACTCTTGTTTTTTTTTTATTGATGCTTGCAGCTGGCACTCGGTAACATTTATAGGTGTAAGTATTTTCTATTCTTCTTTTCAGATGCACAATTTGTGTATCTAGTGTGAATCTATTGAAACAGCGTGCCAGCAGAAGCATTACAGTGCAATAGTAGTGACATGTTTTTATCCTGTGACACAGCGTAAGTCAAATATTAGCATAAAATTAGCTTAGGCAGTGTTTTCACAAGCATGTTGTTGCAAAATTCTGTGCTTTATCGGAAGATGTTGAAGCAACCCCCTTCTTAGATACAAAATTTGTGTTGCATGGCTCTTGCTCTTAGACGCACACGGGCTTGTGTCGTCATTATGTTTAACAGAAAATATAGTGCTTCCTTACGTCTAAAGAATTAGAGATAAATATAAAGGTGTTGACAAGGAGTCACAGATTTTTCTACTTTGATTGTGTAGGTGATGGCTAAGGTGATGGAGATGTACCAGCCCAGTGCTGTGGTTCTTCAGTGTGGTGCAGACTCTCTCTCAGGAGACCGCCTTGGCTGCTTTAACCTCACCATCCGAGGTAGACATACACAGTACAGTAATGCTGAATGGTGTAATAAAGTGATGTCACAAACCATACTGAATGTCTTGCATTTTGTGTGTTTTTCCTGGGTTTTTTAATCCTAAAAGGGCATGCCAAATGTGTGGAATACATCAAGTCCTTCAACCTGCCACTGCTCATGCTGGGTGGAGGAGGATACACCATTCGAAATGTGGCCCGATGCTGGACCTATGAGACAGCTGTGGCTCTGGACACTGACATCCCTGACGGTTAGTCACTTTTTCCATGTCAGTGAATGACTGTAGTTAAAATTGTCTTGGATTTCTTTGCTTTCTTTGTCATACAAGAAAGAAGAAAAAAGCTAAGTGGCAATCAGGTTGACCGAACCGGCACTTAATAGGTGTCCTACATTAATAAAAAGAGCGATTAGTTTAACTCGCCACATCATTGAGGTGACCAGGGTTGTTCTTTGTCACTGACTCTTTTCATAGCTTCAATGAACAGAATTTCTAGGTGCAGCCCAGAGTTAGAGGTGGTCTCAGAATAGAGCAGGGCGATATGGCCAAAAATATTTATCACGATATATATTTGAAAATTTGCGATAACGATATAACTGACGATATAATTGATGCGAGACAAAATACAACTCCACAACATTACTAGCGCAAAAAGACAACCTATCATTTATTTTCACTTAAACAAGAAGCTGGTTTTTATGTACATTAAAGCTTTATAAAAATGTAACAGTGCAAATGCAAATTCCTTGCTGAAAGTTTAACCAAAAGGCATTTCCAGTAGAAATGGACTGACATATCCTGAGCATAACCATGTATAATATCCACTGAAGTTAAAAAGAGGTGCTTTGCAACATTAAACTGCAGTGTGCAGTAGGTATTTTTCGGACCATAAGGTGCACGGGATTATAAGGCACATTAAGCGAAACAAAGCAGTCAGATAAATCAAACTTTATTAAACTCATTCTTCTTGCTTCCTCCACTTCTGTACCATTGATTCATTAATGTTGAATTCTCTGGCAGCTGCTCTATTCCCATGTTGTTGCAGTATATTAATGACTAACCGGTATTGTGGATGGATTATCTCAGTTGTTCTCCTGACTGAAGATTGGTCCGTTTACAGCATCCTGCCATGCGATTGCATTTGTCTCTAACCATGAGGAACCTTAACGTTAACTTTTATAAGTGGAAAAGTGTTAGTGTTTGTCCTCCAGCTTCACTGTTTATGTTATGCTAACATAGCTGTGTCGCTAGCGATCACGTAGCACATAATTATATACCAGCTAGCCCAACTTCAGTAACCCTACAAACGTCACTGCTGTTTAGTTTCCTGTCTTCATTTATGTTGGAAGTGATAGCAGAGCTGTACGTTTGATTTTTTTTTCAGAAATCTCTCAGTCAGAACATGCAATATCATGCTTAGGTAACTAGCGAAACTAGCGAGCTAACTTCCGCTAGCTTCCTGCTAGCTTCTAACTCCGTTAAATGTAATAAATTCTGTTTTCATGGATGCCTGGAAGTTAAACTTCATAGTTACACCTGGTAAAGCAGCAATGCTGATCGTTTTATTAAAGATGAAAGAATTTAGACAGTTTTTAACTCTTAGTGATGCTGCAGTGTTCGTTTGACCTGAAGGATACGGAGTTTAGGACCCAGATTACTCCCAGATTTAAGGGCATCTTAGTCCAACGGCCGCTTGCATGTTCTGCAAAAAAATGTGCTTTGTCGTGTATCTGACGGACAAACACCAAACCAGTTCCACATCACTGAAGTTGCACCATTTTTACAAACCAATTCTGGTTCATCTGTTTCACTCAACAATCGGCCATGTGCGTATGAAAACAAAGGCACTGCGCATGCGCGTTTTACTCATATTCTATCGCGATATTTCATTTTCCTATCGTTGCCTAACATTATACCGGTATTACCGTGAATGGTATAATATGGCCCAGCCCTATCTCAGAATAACCTCTCTGCTTTTTGCAGACGATGTGGTTTTGTTCATTTCATCAAGCTATGACCTCCAGCTTGCTCTTGGGTGGTTTGCAATTGAGTTTGAAGTTAGTTGAGATGAGAACGAGCACCTCGAAGTCTGACTCCATGTTTCTCAGGTGGAATTGAATTGAAAATTGAACTGATGGTTGGACAGATCCAAGATGGTTAACACACACATACAGTCCATATGGTTAACTTAAATTTGGGTGCTATTTATTTAGGGCAGCAGTGCTTTATAGCCTTGTTGAGTAGTTGTGCACACCACTTAACTGATATATTATCTAATTATTACTTAAAGTAGAGCCTGCTGAGGCTGAAATAATCTGGGTGTATAAAGACCTCTATAGCCTTCTCTTGATCTCTGTGTGAAGTTAGAGACTGCAGACTACATTAGCAGTTACTAGCTTCTTAAGAATTGGTGCCAGAGGAGTGTACTATGCTTGCCATAGACAAGCTTGACTCAACGAAGCCTAAAAAACAAAATAAATATCACTGCAGGACCATATGTATATTCTTTTTAAATTTTGCAGGTATAGATCAAATAAGTGGAGCATGTCAAACAGTGATGCTGGTCATTTAAAGTTTAATGTGTGTGTCTGTAACCTGCAGTGTGAGGCTTGTTGGAGGTGATGGAGTTTTTAGTTAACTTCACCTTAGGGAAGGGCCAACCTGCTTCCTGCCTTTGCTCACAAGGAGCTGAGTCAGCAGACTGTCAGATTTCCACATAAAGAGAGGGGATGGAATGGGACAGCAGTTCTCTTAACGGGATTTCAACACATTAACTTACCTCCCTACACATTTCTCTTCATCTTGCCCTCACTCATGATCAGTGTAGCTTATAAAGTTTCAATAAATCTTAACAGGTGTGGTAGCACCCCTTTTTCTTTTAACGTGATTCCTCATTTGACAGATTTTCTCCAGCAGTTTTTTTTTTCTCATCTCAACGATGTTTCTGTTGTAGAACTGCCATACAATGACTACTTTGAGTACTTCGGGCCTGACTTCAAGCTCCACATCAGCCCCTCCAACATGACCAACCAGAACTCACAGGAATATATGGACAAAATCAAGTATGTCAAATGTGAAACTATTTGTTTTCTTTCTAGAACTGCCAGAATTCCAAGCCTAGAACTGCTGGAGATTTGGAATAATTGTGGAAAAAGAATGTTATTGACAAGTTAAAAATACATTTTGGACAGTGTGGTATTAGTTTAATTAAAATAAAGAAGGAATGAAAACAGATTGAACTTAGAAAGCTGACCTCACAGTTGGCTAACTAATAAATGAATTGTTGTATAAGTTAGATAGTCAATGTCCACAACTGGACCTGCAGCTTCTCCACTGTCCACGCTGCCCCACCTCAGTCCGTAGCCCTTCACCTCCTCTGCGCTGCTTCTCAGGCCTGAAACCCACCCTGAGAGCCATCCAGTTCGGTGGCTGTGCTCCAGATTTGACTCTTTATTTGCTCAGATTAGTTCTCCACCCTCTGGATTCTCTGCTCATTTCATTT